ATCAGTGAGAGACATGTGACATTTACTTTAAGGGAAAAGACAACATGAATGATAATATGTTTCTCATCAAACACCACGGATGTAAGAAGGGGCAGTAAATGTTTTTTAAGTGTTGAAAGACAAGAACTATTAATCCAGAATTCTATATTCAGAGAAAATATCCTTGTAGAATGAAGTGAAGTAAAGATATTCTTAGGTGAAGAAAAACTAAGAGAATTTGTCACCAGCAAAGGAAATTCTCTGTAGGAATTCCTCTAAACCGAAAATTGAAGACCACAGAGTGAATTTTGGAACACCAGGAAGAAGAAAGAACAATGAAAGAGTAAAAATATGTGTGATTACAATAGATTTCTTTCTTTCTCTCGAAACTTCTAAATGATGTTTGATGGTTGATGCAAAAATTGCAATATGGTGTGACATGTGTATCAAAGTATGTGAAAGCAGGAAGTGTTTAAAATTAAATATTTGATGGGAGAAGACTCAAGGGAGGGAAAGTGTGAGTGTGTGACTGCGAAGGGGAAATGCATAAGGGACATTTTCCTAGCAATGAAGTAGTTCTGTGACTTCTTTGCAACGATGTTACGGGAATCTGCAAGTCAGATGAGAGAACGTAGATCCACAGACATCATTGCAGGTCTGTCAATTTCTTGTTTCCGAGATAGTTTAATAGGGTGATGTCAATAGCCATTGGGAGAATTGGGGTGAGGGGGATGAGAGACCTCTCTGCACTGTCTTTCAAATCTCTCATGCACATAAAATGATAGATTGTGATTCTGTAGTTTTTTCAAAATAAAGAAATTCAAAAAGTGAAATGCTGAATGGATACATTTGGTGCAGGCTTAAGATGGAACACTTACTCAACACCTCTTGGACGATCTCTCACGCAGTGTGATTGAAAGAAATGTTCACAAAAGCTTATACACTTCTGGTGAATTCTCTCACCTTCCTGAGCCTCTGCCTGTACCCCAGTTCTTGTATAAATAAATAAATCTTTAAAAAAAAGATAATTCTATTTAAAAAAAAGCTTATACACTTATGATTCCATCTGTACAATGAGGAGAAAGCAAAAGTTCTTTCTCGGGAAAGAACAACATCAGCGGAACATCAGTGGATTCCTAGGGGTGGGGGTGACAACTCAGAAACTTGGGGAGATGGGTACCTTCTATTGATATGTCTGTAATGGTACTGGCTGGTTGCCAATGGTATACATATTTTCAAACTTGTAACACTACATGTAAAGTTTACCTCCATGAACCCAGGCTAATAAAAGCAAAAAGGAAGCATCATAAAATACTCAAACATACTCATCATCACTGAATATTTATGCTGGTTTTTTTTTTAAGATTTTTAAAATCTATTTATGCATACAAGAACTACCGTGTAAGCCAGAGGTGTGGGGGGTGAGAGGATTCACCAGAGACAGAGTGGGGAGCAGGACAGACAGATCTACTGAAATACACTGCTGAGGGGAGCAGCGGGCGAGTCAGGAGAGGTCTGCTGTGCCATGTGGGTCACCTCCCTGGCTGGCAGGGGATTGAACTCATGCTGCAGTGGCTGGCAGTAGCTTGACAGCACTGTTTTAACCGCTGTGCCACCAGGGAGGCCCTGTTTTTCAGCTTTCACTATTCTAAACAGTGATTTCAAATACCTGTGAGCAAAGAACTTGCTTCCCCAGGGCCTTTGCATTAGCTCTGCAGACTGCATTCTCAGAAGTTGTATTGCAAGCGTGGCTAGAGAGGAGCAGTGGATTCCATGCCTCCAATGTTTTTACAGCATTTGAGAAATAATTGCAAAATGACTTCCCAGAAGTGTACTTTCTTTTAACCAGTGAATAATGCTTTTAAGAGGAGATGAAAGTACTACTTTACCCACACCCTTGTGGGCAACAGCATTTTGACTGCTCCTGTCAATTGGTTCCATTTGGTTCGGATATCGCTTCCTGATAATTGAAGGGTTTGTATTTACTCGAGGCTTTATAATTATGGCATACAGGATTAGTTGGGCAGAACTGAACCCACGCTATTTACAGTTCACTAAACATCCCTTTAAACATTCACACACGTATGACAAGCTATAAATACTATTCATTTATAACTAGAGTGTGTGGTTCTAGTAATTACCACCAATTTTCCTCACCAGAACATCGGTGACATCCGTAGACAGGAGAATTAGGGAGGTATGTCTGTCCTGGTTCTGGGGCGGGCCTCCCGCCTTTGATTTTTATCCTCTGCCTCTCTGCTGTTCTTGCATTGTCTTCTCACCCCCTTCAATTGCATATACCTTTCGAGTCTACATTTTAATGCTCTCTTGATTTTGGTTTGGCTTGATATACTAGATGAATTCTCACTGTGTCAAAACTCTGATTTAACCTGTCACATACTGCTCAAAATACACATTTTAGGATCTAGTATTTTCATCTACTCTTTTTCTATAATTGCAAGGATATCTTTTCCTATTTGCTTTTGTTGGATGTGTGCAACAGTTTACCCATGGGGCTGTCTTTCCCTAATTCTCACATTGCAAAATCCATCTGCAGGAATAGGTGCATTTTAAGGAGACTTAGCTCCACCCTGCAGAGAGGGGCCATGTTTTACAGCCTCTTCTGGCTTTCGGCTGAATGCAAACAATTGTTGGGTAAGTCTTGCCTTAAATAGTTCCCTACTAGTGAGAAGCCTTCAACTCCCTTTTGACTGCCTCACTGCTCCAATATATATGGATCCAATTTCCCTTTATCTCATCCAATTTTGAGATCCAGGGAGACTCTTACACCCCTGTTTGACACGTACATACTATGAGCTCCAGGCCTGCTATGTGTCATCCTCTAAGATGTGGGGAGAGTTGGCCAGGTGGGCTTCACCTATGTCAAGGGAGACCTCTGCTTCTCTTATGCTTTGCCCTTGTCTCGTTCCATCTGGTGGATCTGAACCTAGGTCCCTTGACCTCCAGTCCATCCTTGTTCTCCTGTGGTGCCTATATAGGCCAGCTCTGGGGCGAGGCTTCTGGGAACCTATATGAACGAGAGGTAGGTTTCTGCTCTTGTGATGTTTATACTCTAGTGAGGAAACAGACAGACCGTGAATCATAAACATCAGTAAATGACGTTGTATGTGGGGTTGAGTGCTTTAATAAAAACTAAAAGTTGAGGTGCATGAGGAGAGTTAAGGCTGGTGGTGACCACAATTTTAAATGAGTTTGTAAGGATGGATCTCGTGGAGGAAGTGACATGAAAGGGAAGTCTTGATATCTGTGCTAAGAGAGTTCTGGACACAGGAAACAGTCAGTGCAGAGGCCCAAAAGTAGAAGGTGAGTTGTTTGGGGCTGAGTGATGTGGGCAGAGTAGAAAGATCTGTGGTGAGGTAATGAGGAGGGCAAGTCTCAAGTGACACTGCGGGCCACTGTAGGTGTGAATCTTGTGCTGTTCCTCTAAGCCATAGCCAGCAAGTCAATTTTCACCAGCAGCTTTATTCAATATACTTTATAAGAAAACCATCATTGAACCAGTCAGTGTGGATTCTGCCGGCCAAATCCTGCTGCACGGATATGCTATAAACATTCAATCTTGTTTCTAGCAAGACTTGGCATAATTTTGAAACTGTTCAATCATCCCAGTAAATATGAATTAAACATTTATGGTTGTATTAAATATTCGAAAGATAGGAACCAAAACAGTCTATCAAGTAATTGTACATATTTGTGCATTTACAAAATGCATATTCATGAGAGCTATGTAAATATATATTTAGTCATTTCCTCTTCCATGTGAAGAGGCGCCACGGCTGAACTACAGATGGTAACTTTCTTGCATATAATTATGAGAATAACGTAGTAAACCATTTAGAAATTGTTCTTAGGAAAAGATCATTGTCCTTTTGGCCATTCCATGGGTTCAGTACCTTTACAACTGGGGAGAAGAAAGTTCTGGAACATGCCTGTCCTTGTGGTAGGCATCTGAGAAAGAAATGACAGTTGTTCCGCAGCTAAGTACCTACTGCACCTGTCTTGTTCTCCACAGAAGTGGCTTTCAATCTCTTTCACCCCAAGAGTCACAAGAGGGAAGGTGTTTGTGTGTGGACACACCCAGGGTTGTGTGCAACTCTGACTATACAGCCATAGCTCTACACATTCTCTCCTACTCAAGAAAGTACATTCGAATCCTAGAGAGTGAGAAGAATGATATTTGGGGCTAATATTTAATTCATTCAAATTTATTCAACAATGAGTCCAACTTCAATATGGCGCCTATTAAAAGTAACATGACTGACACTCCCGCATGACTTCTCATGACAACACTGTGGGTCCTTCTGCTGCTTCTGAGGACCCTCTGGAAAAGGAGATTGTTGAGGGTACACTCTCCTAATATTGTCTTTATATGAAAACCTTTCTGGAAATCAGAATTGCTGAAAAGGATCTCTATTTCCTAAGATGCTGGTACGCTTACTGGCACTCACCAACTCATTCTTTCCACAAAGACTCTGTGAGACCCAGTGTGTGGGGGGCATGGGCACTTCCTCTGAGAAACTAAGTATCTTTCCATAGCATCTTCTGTTCTCAAGTATTTTGAGAGAGTTTAGGAGAGAGAGAGAGATATGAAGAGATAGCTGGGTCTTCACATCCCCAATCTCTGGGCAGCAGATGTGCACTGCTCTGCATTCTTGAAAGAAATAGAAATGACACCCCGGTATACATGCACTGGCTGTCCCCGGTTAGCTGGACTGACTTGGGGACACCACAAAAACTCAGGATGACTGTAGATGCAGACTAGGCATGGACCATTGTCTCTGGGAGTCTCTCTATTGGAGACAAAGATATTTTGACTTTGTAATAAGTTAGGAGTAAGAAACAACCATCCACTAGGCTGGGCAGGCTTGTGTTTATTCAGGTAGTGGTGGCCTTTCTGAATCTTCCATCTCACTCAGACTAAAAACCAATGTCCTTATTATGACTTACATGGCCTTTTGTGATCCGACCCCCACACCTATGACCTCATCTCTTTAGTCCTCTTTCATGCCCTTGTTCCTCAGCCCACTTACTGCTCCTTCAACCATTTCAGGTCATTTGAATCTGCTCAGTGTGCTTTGTCATTTGTGGGACCATTTCACATGCCAGGTGAGGGGGTCTTCCTTGACCATCTTATTCAAGATTTCAACTGCCTTTCCAACATTTTTTAAAAATTATTTTTTGCATAGAAGAACTTGGGGATAGGCCAGAAGTGCCGGGGATGAGAGGATTCACCAGAGACAGAATGGGGAGCAAAACAGGCAGGTCTACTGAAATACACCGCTGAGGGGAACAGTGGGTGAGACAGAAGAGGTCTGTTGTGCCAGGCGGGTCAGCACCCTGGCTGGGGATCAAACTCAGGCCACAGTGGTGCTAGCATGATAGGGCTGAGACTTAACCCCTAGGGCACCAGGGAGGTCCCTCTCTAACATTTAATTTCCCATTTCTTGATCTAAGCACTTACTGTTCTCTAGAACACTCTCCCTTCTACTTATTTCATTTAGTGTCTGGTTTCCCACAAAGGCAGAGCTTTTTTTATGCTTTGTTCATTATTGTATTCCCAGCATCTGAAGAGTGCCAGCCACATGGATTCAATGTTTACTGAAAGAATCAAGGACCACCTGCTTAAAAGCATGGAGACATCCTGGGGAAGTAGGAGAGAGAAGTGTACAGACCAGGGCTCATGTGTGAGGAGAGGGAGGGTGAGAGAGAGGTGAGATACAAATTTTTCTAGTTTCCCAGTTCCCAATTCTGATCTTAATGAACCTGTTTTTTATTTCCAGTCCATGACGTGTCCCTGTAAAACCCCCCTTTTCTTAAGCTATCTGGAATCGGTTTGTCTTTGATTTTATCAAAAAATCTCTTAGCACAAAGAATAGAGTCAAACTAGAAAACTCTAATTATTTTCTCAGCATGCAGGGGGCTTGAAGGGTGGAGTTCCCATGTAGCGAACAGTGTGGGGGTTCTTTTCCCTACTTCCTCTCCCAGATAACTAGGTCACAGACAACTGGTGTCTCCCCCTGTGGCAAAGGAGAGCGAGCACAGACACCCCTGCCTCCTCTCTCTGCTTTTCAAGCACTGCTGAATGGCTCCTAATGATTTCATCTGCTTGGAGGTCTGCTGGCTCTTCCACTCTCTAGAAGCTGGTGGTGCCGGGGGCTGGTGCATGCTCTGACTACTGACTTGAAACATGCTTTGATGAATTAGCGCAACCCGGCCATCCATTTACTTTAAATTTTATCCTTGATTCTTCCTCTAGCAAACAATTAAGGAGCAGCAGTGGCTTCCTGCAGGGGAGACCAATGCCTTCTGTCCTCTGTGGAAACAGCTTGGCATTCTTCCAAATGATGAATGGCATAGACCAGGAGTGTCAGTTTCCCTCAGCTTCCAAGCATCAAAATCAGTAAACATGCAAGTGCTTGAAATAAAATAAATTCAAGTCACAAGTGGGGAAGCCAATCCAGGTTACCAGCAAGTTCTGTTCCTCGACCCGGGAGCTGGGAATTGCATCCTTGAATTTAGCAAGGCAGTGAGTGAAGGAACAATGAGTGGCCATATGAATATCTGGTCCTAGTGACAAGGTACCATGTTCTCCTCCCCTCACTGGGTGAGTAGCCAGTCCAACCCCAGAAGCTCTGAGTAAGAGGAAAATGTCTCTTTAACAGTATTAAGGGAGAATTTATTATGTGTATCCTTCCAGGGAAGCACAATGTCAGTGCAGGCCCATTGCATTTGCATTATTTCCAGACAACAGCAGCAGCAGAAAGGGACACTGATTTATTTCAGAGCAAGCACAGGTGAATTTAATGTCTGTTGGGACCGAGCCAGGGAGGACTTAACCCACTCCAGGCTCTGGAGTGCTGGAGGGAGGAGCCCTTCAGGAGTGTTCTGACAGGCTTCCTGGGCTGCACTCGGCTTCCCTGAGCCCACGCTTCTCAAGCATTTGATCAAAGAGGCTGCTGCAGGGTGGCAAGGATGGAAAGCAATTCTGTTTAGGAATAGAAATTCTGGTTTATGCCCTGGCTCAGCCAATTTCTTTCTCAGGGACATGGGCAGGTAATTTTGTCTATTTAAGACTCCATTGTTTCTTTTGTAAGTGGGTCTAAGAATATCAGTTTGTAAGGCTACCACGAGGAAGACTTATGCAAATGTGCTAGAGGTTGCTTTGTAAATTGTAAATTTGTAGAAGTGCTGTTATTTTGGGGTGACATCAGTTTGGGAATCTTAGCAGAGAGGTTTATCTCAGAAGTATCATCCAGAAGGAAGTAGTCACCATTACCCGTTGAAGTGTGGTGTCAGAGAATTCTAGAAATGTAAAAGAGCATGGGAGCTAGTGTCTAAGAGACAACTCGTCTAAGCCTCTTGTTCAGCACCTGGAGAGATGAGGCTTGGGGAAGACCATAGACTGGGTGTTATGGGGGTGAGGTGAGGCTTAATTATCTTTGTTTCTGTTCCTCAACAGTATGTTTCAGAAGGTTCTCTACACATTTAGTGTTTAATAACTGTTGGTGGAAATGATAGCATTGACTCCATAAAACACGACCAGTGCTGCTGTTGACAGTGGTTGTTGGGATCTTTACTCACTTATCCACATCCATGTGCACCTTATTTAAATAGCAAACGTTGGAGGGAATGTGTTTACCGGTCTCCTGACTATCTGGAGAGGGAGCGTGGCCCCTAGAAGTCAGCAACATCTAGAGAAGAGCCTTCAGGTTCCACTTCAGAGAGCAATTCCTTGGTGACTTGAAGAGCATTTCACTCTTAACAAACTGTCTTTCAGCCTCCCAAATGCCAGCACATCACCTTCCTGAATTCTCCCAATGAGGTGATGAAATAGGCACTGCTCGGCTCCCGAGACTCAGCGGCCTGCTCAGTGGTGCCTAGCTGTCAGGACTGGAATTTGAATCCAGATCTCTTAAAAAAAGTGTCTTTGATTGAAGTAGCATGCAATATTTCAGATGTGTGTCATTATAAATCAGGAGACTTTAAATAGGGGAGTACATTCAGTTCACCACTAAAATTCCAATTTCACCCTACAATTGACACTTTCCCCCCAATTTCTTTACCCTTTTCCTCCCCTTCCCTTCTGATATCCCCTCATTTTCTCTTACGGTGTAAAAGATTAACCTTGTTTTATTTCATTCATTTGTTTGTGTTGTTTCTTTAACAAAAAGAAACCCCATGTGAGTGAAATCATACCTAACTTGTCTAACTTAGCTCATTAAGCCTAATACTCTCTAGATCCAGCCATGTGGATACAAACGGCCATGTCATCTTTTTTTTTTTAAGATTTATTTATTTATTTATTTATACAAGCACTGGGTACAGTCAGAAGCACAGGAGGGTGAGAGAATTCACCAGAGCCAGAACGGGGACCAGAACAGGCAGGCTGACGAAACACACTGCTGAGGGGAGCAGCGGGTGGCAGGAGAGGTCTGCGTGCCATGCGGGACCCTCCTTCGGTGGCCGGGGAGCAGCCGGGGATCGAACCGGTGCTGCAGAGGCTGCGGGCAGCTTCGCAACCCAGCGCTCAACCGCTGAGCCACAGGGGAGGCCCACTGCCATGTCATCTTTATTTTTTAGTTCATTGCTGAGTGATCTGCCATTGTTGAACCTAGAACTCTTCATGCCAAGTGTGTTCCCTAATTCGTCCTCATGAACCACCCTTTGCCTTGTTTGTCCTTCCCTCCCTTCTCTCCATCCCTCCCTCTCATTTCCCAGGAATGGACTCTATTTGCCTGTGCCAGGTGCCACGCTGGGCACTGCAGCTGGTGCAAAACAAATAGAGCAGCCCTGTCTTTGAAGAGTTGGCAATCCGCGGAAGAAGAAGAGGCTTTCCAGGTACAAAGATAACTCCAACTGCAGCTGATCTTTCTTGAGCACTCACCCCGATCAAGCACAGCCTGTAAGACTTAACTGACAAGTGCTACCAGCCTGGAAATGGGGGACAGCTACACCTGGGTGCAGGGCGCTGCCACCGCCTCACTGCTGAACAAATGTGCACTGGGTCATAGGTAGCCGCTTTCACAATATCTATGCTTTCAAAGTCTATGCCTTCGCTTTCCCCTGCTCCACGGCGTGATGAATGAAAGATGGGCGTGACACATCCAAATGGAATCTGCAAATTGCTGATCCTTTAAAACCTACTTTTGTAAATACCAATAAAACAAGTCTGGACACTCGTTCCTCAGCTCAGGGAATTCATTCAACCTGGAGCCTGGAGGAGGGAAACTACTCCCTAAGTCTTTTCTCTTTTCAAAGATCTCACCTGAAACTAAAACACGTCTCCTCTCTCTTCCCTTTTCCTGTCTTTCTTTGATTCTGAGTCAATTAGTCTCTAATCCCTTCTGGTTTCCCTCTTTTGTCTGCCTTCAGTTTGTCTAAATAGCGAAATCGGTTACGTTTGCCAAATGAATAACCCCATTCCAATGTGTCAAAATTATGAAATAATACTTATATACACTCGATAAATATTTGTTCAATGAATAAATGTGTGAATGAGTGAATGAATATGTGGATGAATGAATGAACAATGACCAAGTTCAATATCGCCTCTACTGTCTTCCAGTTGCCCAGCTTTAAAAAAGATAATTAACTCGCTTGTATCTCAGTTTCCGATCTTTCTAAATTGTGTGTGCGAGCAAGATTGCATAAATGTGTATATTTATGTACCATAGGAACACTTGTGATTCATTCTGGACCTCAAAAGTGGTTGCCACAATGATTATAATAATATTGTCTAAATATTATAATAATCATTGTCTAGAAGACCTATATATGAGCTGGGAGTCACAGCAGGAATATTCCTGAATATAAGATTTAAATAAGCAGAGAAAAGTTTGAGGGAGGCCATTTCAGCCAGTAATGCAGGGTAAAGGAGTGAGGTTTGGACTCTTCTGAGGGTAAGACAGAGAAGGCAAAATGTGGGGAGTCAGACAAAGGTATAGAAAGAGATGAGGGGAAGTAAGACAAATAGATAATCAGATGGGTCCCCCACATTTGACAGTTAGTGATTACATGCTGCATGCCTCTTTTGTGCTGCTGATACAGAATTATCGTACCAGTTCTGTGCCCAAGAAGTCTGGGGTCCAATTGCTCCCCAGGGAAGCAATGCAGGTACATGTGGGGTGATGAAGGAGACAGCAGGGAAAGAGAAGAGAGCATGTGGAGAAGTCTCCTAATGAAGGAATCCTCCTCCAGGTCTCCATCCTCACTTCCTTTCTCACTTGCTCACTCACTCACTCCGCATATATTCCTGAACATCTGTTTGTTTTCTAGGCGAAGAGCTGGGCCCTAGGACATAGCTGAAATAAGGCAGGCCCAGTCCTGGAGCTTAGAGTTCAGTAGGAATTGATGGGGTGGGTGGGGAGCACATTCCAGGTAGGAGAACGGCAGAAAAAAGCATGGAGAACTGAAAATAAAGCCCAGGGGTTCCCCAAGTATCCTGATGAGAATGATGAGACGGATGCATGGCCCAAGTGTCATTCGGGGGGTGGAGGCTGACATAATATATCATGGAAGTCAATGGAAGACTGTCAATGGAAGATTCCATTTTAGAATAAGAACTCTGGTGGTGAGTGGGTTGAAGCGGAGCAAGATGGCTCTTTAGAGAAATGACTGAAAGAGTGAACATCCAGGGCAGGGGTGGGGGTGGAGTGGGGTGGCAAGGGCAACTGCAGGATCAGATGGCAAAGTGAAAAGATGTTTCTAGAA